GACTTAATGGTGATTGACTGACAGTAACTGCCAAATGTGTTCCGCAATCCGTAGGAGGCTATGAGCGTGTTTGTGTGTGTGTGGGTGTCTCTGCAGTGTTTTTCGGGTCTGTAATGCAATTTTATGTGTGTATTCGGGTACGAGCGACATGTGTTTTGGCTGTGCTTTCTTTGTGTAAATCCAAATCTCGTTCTAAGCTGTTTCCTTTTGTTGCTAACAAATGTCCCTGAAAGGCCGTGGGTTAACAAGAACGAAAGGTTCAGACTGCGCGAAAATTATTAAAGATACTCAAATGAAGCAAATATTGAAGTGGTCGACTTTAAAATGTTGGCTTAGTTTCTCGAACTTAACTGTGCTTTTAGCGCTCTCCGACACCGCTCTGAGAGTGGGCTCGCGCTCCCGCTCGCTCTCACGAGCCAATCGACCCTCCTATACCCTCCTCACTATTCACCGTTGCATTAACAAGTGGTCACTCATCATTTACACAAACTTTCGCTCTCTTAAAGTTGGGCAGATGGAAAAGAACAGAAAAGTCAATGTCAAATGAGAGAGCAACTAGCAAGCGCATCAAAAGGAGAGTATGGAGTTCTAGAAACTAAGCTTTCTACGCATACAAATCTGCGTCGCTCTCAAGCTTTCAATATTTCGCGTCTTATGCTGTCCACTGTCACCTTCCGTTTTCTGCATCTTCTCCCCCCTTCCACCACAAGCCAACCAAGAGCACAGGCACAGAAAAAGGCCGAAGAAGTGCAAGTACATATTGCTAAAATATGTTATTCATGAGCATTAATATTCAGAAAATGTTTTTGAATAGTTTTTCTCAATTATTTCTGATGCAAAGTAAATTCGCACCCATAACCATAGGCTTGCCGCGTATTCACTCATGTATGGATGTGTGTGCAGATACTTTCATTACGGGAGGGGAGCAGAGGGCATAATTTTTCAACACGCTCACGCACTGCTGCACATGTATAAAATATTATATTCTGCATCTCCTGTATGCAATCTTCTACTCTGTCACTCTAGTTCCCCCACCCCATTTTGCTCTTGTAAAAATGGAAATTTTTAATTTTCAAAACTAACAAATACAACAAATTGCAAGTGAGCAGAGAACAAAATGCACAGGCGGGAACCAGGGATCAGGAAAACAGAAAAACAGTACTCACTCTCAATCTCCGTACGAAGAGCAATAGAAGAGAGAGAGAGAGAGAGAGAGAGATGTTACGTTACAGTGACTTTAAGTTGGTCTTCGTACAGGCACTGGGTTGCTCCTGCGAGCGCTGCACAATCAGCAAAAGTCAGCCAGCTATGAACAAAAGTTAAACAGACAAAACAAAGTGTAAAGTAAAAAGTGCAGAGAGATTGTGGGTGTAGGGGGCGGGCATGCAGTTGACATTTATAAATTTCACACGCAAGGGGCGTGAAATGGCTACGCCATTTTAAAGTTGAAACATTTGCGTAATTAGCAGACAGTCTTTGGTGTGAAGGTGGAACACGGGACACTCGAGGCAACACCCAACATGAACCCCAAAAAGCAAGTCATGGAAACAACTTTAAGTGTTTGCGCAAATTACGTAGCAACAAAAAACTTAATTAAATTGTAACCATTTCTCGATGTCTTCAGCAGTGCTGCTGCTGCTGGCTGGCCGTGTTGGCTTTTGGCCAAAAGCATGTTGCCTGCAACTGAAGCAACTCTGACAATTAACTAATGTCTGTGGGTGGATGTACTACGAGTGCTATGTGTGGGGTTTTTACTGATTTACTTATGACATTGGATGCTGTTTTGGTTACGCGATTTGTTTACAAGCAGCAGACTAAGGTGAAGGTGCGGTGCGGTGTGGCTCTTGGGTGTAGTTCGATTTATCCTTGCTGGTGCACTTCTGTCTCCGTTTAACATATGGCCAATGGCCACTCAGTCTCTCGTCAAAAAACCTCAAACTTCATTCAATTTTCTCACCTGCCTGGAAGTGGCCTTTTTTTTCGACATTGCTTCGGCTTTCGTTTTGACTTTCGACTTTCTCATTTCACAATTTCTACCTGTGGCTGAGCCTTCAGCTATTGTCACTTGTTCTTTCTTTCATTTCCAGCTCTTTCTAGTGCAAAATGGAGTTGATTGAATGACTCGAAGAACGACATTTCATCAGTCAGGGATTTTCTATCTGATTTGTATTTGCGCTTTAAGGTTTGACTTTTATTATTACTATATTCCTTCCACAATAAAGTTACAATTTCGGTATACAATTATTAAATACAATAATTCAAACATAAAAACAAAATACACATCCGCAAACATTCATCATTAATTCACTCACAACCAGCGACATCGTTTAATATTGGCCTGACATATCTGCTGCCTGTGATATTGTGCGTAAAGTTGAGCGATAAGCGAAAACAATTTTAACTGCCTGCCGCCTGTCCACCTGTTCCCATTCCCCAAAATTTCCGTAGTCAATCGTCCGACAACGCAGCATTATCAATCTGGAATCGGCATCATCATCATTCGAATCATCGACATAAGGGTGGCGGTGGTGGCGCTGCCTCGTGGCACGTTTGTCGCTTTATGCCTTCCTTCTGTCTGCTTATGAGCATTATATCTGCATTGTCACCTTGTTGGCCATTTAACATGAACGCCCGAAAGGACACTGGGGACACAGAGACCCACTCCAATTGTCATCCCTCTTATCATTCGTGTGCCCCATCCCGTATTCTCTGTGCCCTGCCGTGGATTTAAGGACATCGCTGTCATCGTTACTGTTACGGCCACACCTCCACTTCCAACCCATAACGTGTTGCCGGAGACAGAGTGAAAAAGTTGACAAAAAAAAGCATTGTCCTTTGTTTCATTTTTTCCAAGATTCACTTTCCGTTGGTGCCAGTTCGAGAGATTTGCTCCACCCTGTGTGGGATTCAATTAGTGGATTGGGTGTGCACAGTGTGTTCGATTAGCTCAGAAAATGGGGAATTCCGGAGGTTTGTTATATAAGAAAATATAAGAAAGTTAACTTTATTTACGGGAAAATAAATAATGGAAAAGAAAAGAGCAGCTTTAACAGAGCACCGGCTCTGAACAGCCAGTAACATACATACCTCTCTCCGTTAACAGACTGTAGGCGCTCTTCGTTAACAGACTGTAGCCGCTCTTCGTTAACAGTCTGTGTGAAATCTTTTACAGCCCGTGGCCACCGATCCAGTTATAGCACACTGTTAGCGCTCTCTCTGCTCTTTGCTCTCTCTCTCACTTAATCACTGATTATAACAGAAATATTATAATACCACAAAAAAGATACATAGTTTCAAATATGTTGAGCAGAATCAATGTTGTTGAGCTACATATGGTGTATCAAACATTAAATGTTCCTTCTCTCGCAAACACAATGAAAATTTGACAAAAAAAAAAAGGACAGCGCAAAAACCAGCTTCACATTTATCCTAACGTGCTCATTTGAGTGGAATCACTTAATGGTTTTATACGCTTATCATTATCATCCCAGTAGCAGTAGCCAGGGCGAAGCAGCAGAGAAAGAGAATGTCGCGTCGAGGAGCCGTTAGTGCTCTCTCTGTGTCTCTCTCTTCGTGGCATTGTTGATTCAATCAAATTTGTGTGCGTGTGTGTGGGACAAGCGGCGGGGCAGGCGGCTAGCGGACATTTTTATCTAGCGGATGTTTGGCTCGCTGTCAGCCAACGCTAAAACTGTTTGCGCCCAGTCATTGTTTTAATGCGTACATGGCCGAAACACACACTGACACACACACTCACACACACGCGCATACGAAACAACGCGATTTCTGCGCTTAATGTTTCACTTTTCAGAGCGTGACAAAAGCGAGGCACAGGGCTAAAGGTCCCGGGCACAGCCCACAAATAAGGAAGTAATATGTCGTCGCCATCGCCATCGCCAGCTCTCTGTGGCACGGCCATCAAATGCAGACACAGACGACACTTCATTGGGTTTTTGCCCCTGCCCAGGATTGTTGCGTTCCACTGGGTGCTGTGTTGGGTATTTGGTTGCTCTTTTTGTGCCTCGACTCGGAATCCTTTACCCTTCCAGGCATTGTCAATTGTGCTGCTATGCCCTGTAGCTGCCTGTGGAGTTGATAGACCACTCGAATGGGCTAAACCAAGGTGTTATTTGTGCATGAATTATGGATTATGGATTATGGATCTAAAGCCCTTTCATTTATCAATTATTCTTCCAGTAAGGGGTACTCAATACTTCGATCTTTTGCTGCCCTCCCTGACATTTATCTTTATCTGGTTTCCCCTATTTTATCCATCAGTTTTTCTGCTGCTGCGCTTCCACTTCGCTTGACTCTACCTTCCGAGCTCCCCTGCTGCTGCTGCTGCTGTCACAAGCATTGAACCGCATTTGTTTAAAAGATTGATGACCAACAATTGAGTGTGCCACCCCCCCCACACGGCATACCCACACCCATCGCATTCCATTCAGACCCTTCTGTTCCTGATGATGTGCGCCACATATTTATGAGCCACAAATCTTGACAGGCTTTTGCGTAGATCGAAGCATGTGGGTGGCAGATCTAACAGCCATGACCTGCGAAAGTTGCCGTATAATTTCATTAATTTAATGCACAACAATGTGACTTGTCACTTGTCAACTTTCCGATGTTTGCCAGCAACTTCTTTGGGGGCAAATCAGTTCAAATTAGTTTTAATGGGTGTCTTTGGGTACTGGGTTAGGCAGGAACTCACTTAGTGCATCCCAAAAAACTTTGCCGCCGACAACAAGTCATTGATTTTATGCCCAGCAAAAGGGGCAGGGCAGGGCAGGGCAGGGCAGGACAAGACATGGCAGGACATGGCACTTTTAAGAGGCTGTCCCTGGGCTTGTGTCGCATGCAGGCAGGCAGCGATGCATCATCAACAGGGGCTGTCAGAAACATTTACTCGACATTTAGCTTATGCCACGTCCACATGAGAGACGAAAAATTACTAGAAAGAAACGAAGGACGTAAGAAAAGTAGATCTCTATGCATAAAACTTGAGGCACCATAAACCATTATGATTATTAAAATATTCCACGAAAAATCGAAATACACTTTGATTAGACACTACGGAGAATCGTAAATATACACATTAAAGTCAAGGCCCTGGCCACGCATCGATTTGAACTTGAGGGTCACATATGTGGAGGTTGGGCCACCGTCCAAGATCGAGGCCTCGCCACCAATTGTGTGGTTTATGTCGTCAATTACAATGGCGCCAATAGCCCTTTTATTATCCTGCAAAAGGTTTGTTTTCTGTAGAGTAAATTGTACATTTTGGAGTCTTTAAAATCTTACCTCCTGTGTGAATGTAACTGTTCTCTCGACAATGCGTAACAACTTGGCCGGCTCTGTCACATGGGTGGCAAAAAGCAAGTGTGCGTCCGCCCTTTGCCGGCCAAAGACCACGCTGCCACCGAGGACAACCAAAGGGCTGACAATGAGCACAACTGCCACGACAATATACCGTAGGTTCAGCATCTTCGATCAGCAGCTAATAGCAAACTAAATGAGACAGAGATTGGGAACGTTATATGTATAGCAGAAAATATGGATTTAATTCGCTTAAAGTGGAACCTGCTACAAAATCTGGCGTATCTGCCATTACCATAGTTCCAAGGTTACAAGACACCCCTTGAAGTTTTCGCTGCTACGCCAAATTAAAGATCTTAAGCCATGCCGGAAAATCAAACTCAAAACGACACCCGACCCAACCCATACACAGCAGAGAGTCAGGGAGTACTTTATTACCAATAGATACTCACTCCCCCCAGAAGACCTTAACCGGCACCCCACCAAGAGCCATTGATGGGACAGCCATTTGTGGCACTTTTCATTAGCAGCGACACTTCCCCATAGATACTCGCACTTTTGTTTGTGTCCATAAAATGTCTTGGCCTTGTCCTTCTTTTTTTTCGTCTTTCTTTCTTATTTCTTGCTCACTTTGTGGGGAGTTATTAACCCTTAACCGCACGTTACCATTTATTACCCACATTGCCAGCCCAGCCCAGCCCTGGCACCAGCGCGTTAAGCTGACAATGGCAGCATTTGTTTCCCCCTTTTGTTGGGCATTGTGTGCCCTCTCTGCTGTGTCTTTTTATCTGCGGTTTATTGCTTTTAATTTGGCCTAAGTCTCGGCTCGTTTAGGCCACATTTTTGCGGTCGCATTGTGGTGTGATAATTGCCGGCAAAAACTTTTTCGCTGGTTCAGGTGCCGGTTCCGGTTCCGGTATGAGCTGTGAACTGGTTAGCTTTGCTGGAACCACACAACAATCGATTCAGTATCCCTGGTACATTCTCTTTCTCCTCGTGTTATTTTTCACACCATTAATTTTCTTTTGCAAAAATGTCGCTAATTGACAATACTTTAATCAAAGTGCACGCCCGCTTGCGTGAGCGCAACATCAAGCTGTGGGAGGAGCCCTTCTACTTCGAGGGCATCGGCAGCATTGAGTCTGAGCTGGAGCGTTTGGCGCAGGAAATGAGCACGGAGCTGGGCATCAGTGTGTCCGGCTGCCAGAGCGCGCTGTCCGAGATACAGAACGGGAGGCTGCGCAAGTTGGCGGCCAGCCGTGAGTTCCAAGAGACTGGGCTGGCCACGTTCTATGTGCGCTGCGGCACAGCCCAAATGATGGAGATCAAGTGCCCGATGTCTGGCTTGGGCTCGGAGCTGCGGGACAAAGTGGCACAGCGGCTGCAGCTGAGCGGTGGCAGCCACATCAAGATCATCTCCGCCGGTCGCGTACTCAACGGCCAGCAGTCGCTCGCCTCGCAGGGCCTGGAAAACCACCAACAGCTGATGGTTGTGGTGGGTCAATGGCGGGGCATTGAGGTGGCTGGCGAGCGCCTCCAAAAGATACGCCAAGACATTTTGCTGATTGTCGCGTCGGATTACCGCATTGTGGATAATTCTGAAAAGGCCGGCAATCCGAATGTTCTGCCAGAAGCAGAGCTCCTCACCCTGCTCAGGGCGATCAGTTTCATCGAGAAGGGCCGAGCCGCCATGTTCCGGGAGGAGTACGACGTGGCCCTGCTGCTCTTGCTGGAGGGTGACGAATACTTCTCCAGCTGCCGTTCCTATCTGCCTGCCTCGCTGGAGGCCGTGGACAACTGTGCGCTGATCAATCTGGACATTGTCTGGTGCTATTTGTGCCTGAAGAACATCTCCCAGCTGCCGGATGCCCAGCGGCGTTTGGAAATCTGCGAGAAGAAGTTTGGACGCACCTACGGCGATAATCTCGAGAGCTTCAATGAGATGAACTCTCCGAATCGGGCGCTGATCATGCGCCTCCACCTGCTGCAGGGCGTTGTCTTGTTTCACATGAATCGCCGCGACGAGGCCCACGAGCGACTGGAATTGGCGGCCGATGCTCTGGCCGAGCTGAAGGTCGACCCGGAGCTGCTCCAGCAGATGGTGGACATGGGATTCAATGAATCGGATGCCAGGGTGTCCCTGCGCGCCACCGCCGGCCGCATTGATCGAGCCGTGGACTTTATCAGCGAACGCAAGAAGAAGCTCAATGAGGGACGAGACGAGACTCTGCAGTGGAGACGGGTCCACAGTGATGGTGGTGGTGTCTGCCCCCCTGCTGTCTGTCGCCTCATTGACATGGGCTTTGACCAGCAGCTGGTGGTAGAGGCATTGAAGCGCACCAAAAACCATCTGGAACACAGCATTGAACTACTGCAGCATAAGGCAGACGAGCTGCGTGCCAATCTGCCCGCAGTCAAGCCCGCGGATGAGGCACTGCTCGCCACACTCCAACAACTCGGCTTTTCATTGGCCAGAGCCCGTGTGGCGCTTGAGACTACAGAGAACAACTTGGAGGCAGCCATTCAGTTCCTATTGAAAATGTTGTCCGAAGAGGTGCTACGGAGCATCATTGAAGCGATGACACGCCTGCTGGAAGATCAGGCTGCATCGGGCTCACAAACTGCACCGCCAGCACTCGTCCAAACCGTGATCGAGCAGGCCAAGTCCAAGTTGGAGTCGTACACAGCCATTCAACGTTTCAAAGCGGAGCTTAAAGGCAACGCCATGATGTACTTGGACTTGCCATTGAAGCAGGAGGAGCAAATACTGATGGAGTACAAGAACCTGTTGGATATTTAACAGATTTCACTTTATCATCAATTGTAGCAGCCAAAGGGGCCAACTTGTATACTTGCACGATGGGCTACAAATAAAGATTACTACTAACCAAAAACTGATGGACACAGCGCCCTATAAAGGTTCTGCAAACCTTCTTTCTTTATTTAAACATTCAAGAAGCGGAATATATAAGCTCTTTCTAGTCATAGTCTCTAATCTGTTGGATTCTCTAGTGGTTCACTTCGCTTTTTCTTCTCTGGCTGCGTCAGACATTCCCGCAATGTTCCCCGCTTTTCGATCAATCCCGTGGAGAGGCTGTCGCTAATTTGTAGCTCCTCACAACAATCTGTGGCTGCTCATAATTCTTATATTCAATAAGATTTTTGGCTTTCTCGGCCTCCAAATGCTTAGCTGCATGGATCTGCAGATGGTTTTCCAAGTGGCGGCATTATCTTTCCCCTTCTTTAGTTTCATTTTGCTTTAGGCGAAGAAAAAACGCAACAAACTCAACTGCGTCTGGCACTGATCTCTAGATATTCAGATGCAATCCTTCCCTCCTGCTTTAATACAAACAAACAACGCAATGGCACAACGTTGCATCTACGAGGAACCATCGATTAATTTTGCGCTTTTTTGCACCTTTTTGTCCATCGACTCCGATCGGCACTCTCATCGCTAATGGCAACGAATAAACAGCTGATAAACGATCACAGTATTGGCGCGTAAATACTATCAACAAATGGTAAACTCTTAACATGAATTATCTAGCTTTAATCCCTTCGAATCATTGCCAGAGATACAGCAGCAACTATTTTCAGAGGTGCAGCAAATCATAGACCAGAGTCCATTTTTTCTTGAGCATGAAAAGCACCGCTGAAGTTGTAGAATAAATTCGATGTATTTCATTAAATAATGAATACAGAAAATTAATATGTGTAGCACACAGACTGTGCAAAAAACAAAAACCAATCTGGGAAATGGTTTTCCCATGCGTTTTAGTTTTGTTTTCTCTTTGTCAAACTGCATGCACGATTTGCGCTGAAACAACTCGCAGTCAAGTGTAAATGTCAGCCACTCAAAATGTATAATAAATCTACGTAAACAGAGAAACTCAACTCAAGAAAGGAATGAAGGGCGGACCACGGACCAAGAAAAGTTTATTAAATATCTAACGATTTGGAAATAACACACAAGCCAGGCAGCAGGAGGAGGACAAATTATTTGGCCATCAACTGCAGAAGTTTTGCTTGGCACTGGCAGATTTTGTGGTGCGGCAGGGGCCGCTGAGAACTTATTAATTTCCACAAAAGTCAGCTACCAAAAAACACATACCAATGCAAAAGAAAATCGTGAAAAACTGTGACGTTATGCACATGAGTAAGCAAACAGCCAGCAAACATGCAGGAGAAGAGCATACTTTGTGGCTTCACTTTGTATGAGAAGGGGCACCTGGGCTGTATGTGGACATAATGGGTTGGAAGTACACGCACATAGCCAACAAATTATGAGTAATTGTTGTGATGGCAGAGCGCTTTAAGTGGGTAAATATAACTATATATATATAGGGAGGGAAGCTGGTTAACACACCACCGAGGCAGACAAATGGGAAAGGAATAAATGAAATGGAGAAGAGTAATTGAAATGTGAAACTTTAGGCTTATAAATGCAACTTTTAGAGCTGCTTTGAAGCTCGGTTGATCTTCAAGGATATATTTCGCAACAATTTAAGCGTTCGATTTCCCTATTTCCACATTCTACTTTTGCTGCATCTTTGCGGGTATCAAAATGTGTTGAAACACAGTTTGCTTTATGCATTTTTACCCATCTCTCTCTTTACGCTCTAGCTAAAATTTGTGTGGCAAAATGACAGTGGCACCAGAAGAAGAAATGTCAAAATGTTGTTCGAGGAAGAGGCTGCTTTCCGTGTGCTGTTGTACACTTTTAGAGGGTTTTATGAATTATAATAAAATGTTTGCAATGTCAAGGAGATATTGGATTTATATATTCAAGCCGCGAGTGCACTTTCTATTTGAAAAGTCATAAATTACTTTCCGCAAGTGTATCCAAATAGTCGCCTCCCAAGCTTCACTTCTCTTCTAGTTGCTGCTGCTGCTGCCAGTTGTTGTTGTCATCAACAGCAGCAGCAGGAGCAACATTATCATTGTGGCTGCAAGTGGCAGTTGCTGCTGCTGCTGTGTGTCCTCATTATCTCCTCTCTCTCCCTCTCTCTCTTGCTCCGCTCAGGTCTTTTGGCATTTTGCATTGCACCCATCACCCATTTGTTGTGCCTTGTAGCAACTTTAATGGGTTTGTAATGTAACTAAAGTGAACCCAGTTTTGGGCGCCCTTTGTCTGAGATTTACATCTAACGAAGAGCCTTACAAACTGCACTAAGCATTTATATGGTGCCCCACAAACTGCACTACAAATTAAAGTCCAGCATTTTGCCAAAGCTTAAATAAGTTTTCCCACAAAAAAGGAACGACTCAAAATTGTTTTTGGCATTTTTCCACGAGTTAATTAAAAGAAGATTTCTCGTCAAAGTTTGTTTCGTAACCGCAGGAAGTGTCGCATAAATTACAAATTAGTTAAATCAGCCTCGTGACCATCTGAGGGAACTTTTGGTAACCTTCTAGCAACCACCAAGGCAGCTTCATCATCATCTTCAGCATAATCATCATCATGAACGTGGGCATGGCCCATCATGTCTGTGTGCTTAGGAAAGTGAAAATAATGCAAATGATAAAATTATTTAATGATGCGGAAGTGCGCTGATAAGCAAATGACAAATAATCTCAAACAGCACTTATTTTTGTTGTTTTTTTTTCGTGATTTTCTTAGGCGGGGTATGCTGCGTTTTGTGACAGGCAGGAAGAAGGAGAGGAGAGCCAGAAGTATTCCAGTTCCAGGTTACCTCCGATTATGGAATTTTTCTTATTTGTATGATCCATCAAATATGTGTAGCTTCCAGTAGGTATTCCCTAGTCGTTAAACTCCACTTCCGCCTTCTTGGTGTACTTTTATTATCCTTCTTTCTTTCTGGATTTGGGTAAGCCACACCCTCCCCCGATCTAAACACATCCATCCCATTCCTGCTCAGCTGTGGCTGGGCGCATGCAATTTAAGTTGAAATCTATTTAGATTCAACTGTTTGTGTGGCCAAAGTTCTCTCTCTAATGAGATGAGGTGGAAGGCCTCATGTGGCAACAGGCGAACTTTATGCGCCCATAAACTCAGCTCGCACTTTTATCGTAGGGCCCTGGCTACAAAATGAGTCCATAACTCTGCTGTAATTTACATTTTCATTATGTCAACCATTTGGCGTAGGGGAAACAAAAATGCACGAAATTAAAAGGCATCCAACTTTGTTGGATGGATTGATAGCCATACGAGTACGAGTACGAGTACATTTTTTGACAGACAAACGAAATGAAATTTGTTCTCACATATTAAAAGAAATATCCTCATTAAGGCTTTGTGCAGGGTTGACAAAATAAAATGCTTCAGGGGGTTGGGTCTGTGAGGGTGTTTTAGTTTCTTATAAGGAATTTTCGTAATGAAATTAGCACTGAGCTCGGTGTTTATGGGTTGGCTAAAAGTTGTGTTTATATTAAATAAAATGGTAAAAATACAAGCACTACAAATGAGGCAGCCTTGAGTAGTCTCTCACTGATTTGCCATTGAATCTATTAGCAATGATTTAGCCTTCAATTTAGTCCCCTTTTAGTCTCATTATCACTATGCGCCGAAAACTACAGCCCCACTTCAACAGAAGTGCCATGGAGACAGTCTGCGGCATTTTGTGGTCTTGTTCATTCAGAGTCCCCGCAATCATTTGTTCGTTCAACATGCGGCCAGTGCCCAGCCGTCTGGCAACAGCCTGGGGCTATGTTGTGTTCTGTGTTGCACCAATGTTGCACCTACATAAAATGGCTAAATGATGCGTTCAAAATGAGGGAGGGAGCGAGTCCCCGAGTGGACAAACTGTCGCAGTCACAAATTGTAGTCTGCCTACGTACAACATCATTTTTTTGCCAAGCCAAATTTTGTGGCAAGGGCAACAACATTTGCTAATGACAAACAATTGCAGCATTTTTCCCAAGCCAAAGAATGGGACGCCCCAACAGGCCCACAACTTTTATTATTATGCAATGTGCGTTTCACGCCGCAAAAATGGCAAAGAAAATGTAAGGTAAGAGTGGGGGGGGGGGGGGGGAACCCTTAGTTACTGCCGTGGCATGGCGTGGCATGTGCGGCACATAAATAAATGTTGGTATTTTTTGATATTTTTTACATCTATGCGGTTGGTATTTTAATTGCACTGAAAGTGTGCAACCGAAAAGCTTAAAAAAAAGAGAGAGAGATATTAACTCATCCTTTTCATGCATTCATAATAGCCGGCGACTGTCACAGAAGGCCACACAGAGTGGGGGTGGCCTGCGGTTGGATCCATAGAGCTTCATGATTTGTGGCATATTTATGTAAATTTGTGGTTTTTTCTGTTGTCGCTTAAGCATCTCTCGAGAGCCGAGAGCCGAGAGTTGGGCAAAACAAAAAAAAAACCAACAGACAGAAGGCAGAGGAGCCAACAGGCAGCCCGGCAACCCGGCAGCAGGTGTTGTGGCCAAGCAATTAGTGAGAGTCCGCAGCACGGCCCAGAGGCTTTTCTATGATGGCCAACTTAAAGACTGGAAGACTGGAAGCCAGCCAGGGTGGTACGGGTGCTTCGGTGGCTTAGTTGCACTCTAAAATGTTTTAATTATTATTTATCAAAGAAAAAGAGCAAACAATTTTGGCTTGCGGATAGTTTGAATATTCGAAAGTTTTTGCCCATATAAATTGAATATTTGTTGAGGCAACAGTTGGGCAACAGCATTAGCATTCGACTCCAAAACATTTCTTAGACAAGAGATTACCTTAGATTGAATCGAACATCCTTCACTTAAAGACAAACAGGACAGCCTCTGTTGGTCCTGTCTCATCTTTGACTGCAGCGTGGCACTCAAAATGTAACATTTGCCATTCAGCAGGCCACAACTCTTGGAG